GCCTCGCGGCAGCTGGAGGGAAAAGCTCTGTTGGTTGAAACACCGTGCAAGCAGGTAACAAAAAAGCAGGCCCTGCTCCAAAGACCATTTCCAACTTTCTTGCAGGAGCTGCTTTTCAGGCCAGCTCAGACGAATGGATGAGATCCATACTGTTACAGGACAGGGCGCCTTCTTTATCTCTCTTCTTGCCCCAGTCCTGAAATATGTGATTTCATCAGCTTCCCAGCTGGCTGGTCCCACTTTATTACAGTCTCTCTGGTCGGCACTGACAGCCTCACCTTCTGCTGCACTTGCCTCCTTTTAGATTTCACCCCAGTCGGTGAAGCTTTTATGAAGTATGCAAACTTAAATGCAGAGAAACTGCAGAGCAGCTGTGCGAAGGCTGGAGATGGATGCTAACATGTCTGCTCTCACGTGCAGGGGTCCCAGGAAGGAACTTGCACCATCCCTGGTGGGGAATCATGTGGTACCGTGGCAGAAGGCAGCAGCTGTTGTGCGTGGGAGCCCCGGTGACCCTGGGCAGCACTGGCTGCCTGCACGACCCTCCCCATCGCCTCTGGGAAATGCTGGCTGCCTGCACCGCTCCTCCCGTCGCCCTGCTGACCCGGTGGTAAGTCACTTGCGTACACGTGGCACGGTCTGGAGACTGCAGCTCTGCTGCATTTCAGGGCTGCGGGATGTTTTCCCGGCCCGTTCGGTACAGTGCCCGTGCAGGACTGCGCTGCGGCCAGCCACACCATGGCGGGCCCCAGCAAACAGGGAAACTCCAGCTCTCCTAAGCACAGCACCACGTCTCTAACAAGAGCGTTCAGCTGCAAGGTAGGAGAAGGCAGCGCGCAGTTAACTTCCTCAGGCTTAGCAGCCTCAAGAGGTGCTTTCCTAAAGCCAGATGCAGTCTTGCATGTAGGTGGTCTGATTTTCAGAATTATGGAGAGCTCAGCAGCTCCACTCACACCCTGCAGCCAAGCGGAGGGCAAAGAACTTGCCCTCTCTCTTGCAAACATTCATTTCCCCTGGCCCCAGGAGGGGAATAAAGCCTTGCAGGCTTGTGAAGGGGTAAGAAACAGCCCTGCTGAAACAACCGCCCTCCTTTCCCAGCCCTCCCCAGGCTGCAGTGCTCGCTGCCTCTTCAGCCCCCAGACCCTCTTCTCATCTGATAAACCTATTGCTTGATGTGCCCCAAACCCCAGCAATTTCAGCGCATTAGCAGGGCTGCATTCTTACACTCAGACATGAACAGGGGAGGGAGTACGTGCTGACTTGCCCCACTAATTTCAAGACGATACCCAACACATAAGTTTATCAGAATCTGCCCAAAAGCTGTTAAAAAATAGGATTGGTAACTGCCCGTTTCACTAGAGAGCTTGAAAATTCCCATGTCTTGCTCAAAGTGTACAATAGTGTAACATGGGGGGAAGATTTGTGTCCTTTTACTGGCAAGGAATGGCTTGTAAATGTAATGTGCCGCCACTGGAACATGTTAACGGTTGGGAGGAAGCCCTGTCTCGGAGCACTGGAGGCATTGCCTAAAGAAGCCCAAACTTTTCTTCTGTAAAAGCAACACAAGACACCCCAAGAAAGTTCTTTGGAAAGCAAAGCAGAGTCAGCAGGGCTGGAGACTGCATGTTCAGAGCCTGTAGCCGACCCTGCTGTGCGTTAACCATCACAGTTCGGGTCGCTGCGTGTAACAACATTGCAAGAGCAAGAAGGCAAAAAGAAAAGCTGCAGACTGGAGGAAAAGGAAAGCAGTAAGGGGAGCCTTCAGTTCAGGCTGCTTGCTGCATAACTCCCCCCAGCCCACCCCGATCAAACAGACATAATAGATACTTACGTCCCATTTGATAGCGCTGATCCTGTGTCCCCTCGGTAATGTCTCAGCAGCGGGCTGCCAAGTAGGCACATCTGGATATCGTTAGCATTCGACATTCCTCAGCCTTTAAGCGAAACCAAGGAAATCCTCGCTGAGCAAAGCTGCGCTCCGTCTCCTGCGCTCTGGGCCGTTTTCATGCTGAAAGCCAGCAAAGTTTCCCCGCGCTCCTGTGCCTACCAGGGAGGGGTGCGTGTGCCAAGGGGGTCCGAGATGAGGCGCCGGGCTCCCTGCGTGCACTCGCTTGCTTACTGTAAGAGTGGTGGAAGGAGCAACAGCGCCAGGGGAAGGAGCTGGGTCCACTTCCAAGCGCCTGACACGTGATCGGCAGGCTGGGGCGCGCAGATGGCCTCCAGCACCGCAGAGCCCCGTGGCCAGCAGCTCCATCAGTTCTGCTTTGATTATTTTCTTCACCTCTGCAAGGGCGCAAAATTAGAAATTGAGGTTGGGTTCAGCTCAGAAGGAAAATCTGCTTGGGGGGGTTGGTTTCTTTTTTTTTTTTTTTTTTTTTTTTCTCCCTAGTAGGGAACCGATGGGAGGAGGTGGGGGACCTGAGCGGTGCGGAGGCTGAAGACAGATGCGAGGGTCCCTCCCAAAACGCTGAACATTTAATTTGAATTACTTCAAAACGTTTTTATTTGGAGCCCAATCTAAATTACCATCGGTACCAATCCGCCAGCTGACTGCAGCCGGAGCATTTCCTACCTCTGTGGCTTCATCCGTCTCCACAATGGAAATCATGACCCTTATTCCTCTAACAAAGGCCAAGGGTCTGGAGAGTGCCCAGACCACGGCCCCTTCAGTAGGCAAAGTTTTTCATTTACGGTGAACTTGTCATAAAGCCAGGTTTTGATCTACTCTGTTGTTTTCACAAACACCCAACTGCTTTTTAAACATAACGTAAAAATGCTTTTTTATAGGTGTCTGTGGGATTTTTTGATGCATTCTCAATTTCAGCTCAAACGTTTTGCTTTATTGAACACGTCGCTGTAAAAAGCTGTCATATGGCCAGGTTCGTGACGAGCAAGGCTCAGGCCCTGCTTTCGGGTGCTTCAAGGCTGGGAAAGCTCTTTCCTAGTGATCTGCAGCTGTCTGAAACGCAGCAGTCCCTCGATGAATAGCACAGCTGATCAAAACACCTCGGCCATAAACGTTACTCAGCTTCACGCTTTCCCTGTGCCAACCCAAGGCACCTTTATCCCCCTCCGCTACAGCCACCCCAGGCTTTTTTCCACCCCTCCTCTGTCAGACCGGTGTGCCTGCCTTTGCTCAGGGGGCTGGCTGTGGAGCAAGGCGGGCTGCTTCCCGAAACCATCAGGGACTCACAGCAGGTATTTCCCTCGCATTCCCCCACCCCAGTTTTTCGGACCTGCTACCCTTTTTGCTTGCTCCCATGGGGTGAGAGTGAAAACGGAGGCTTCCATTGCTGTGCAGTGCCTTTGCAGCTGTCGTGGCTTGGAGACCCATGCAGGGAGCTTGGGAGGTGGAGGAGTTTTCTCCGTGGGTGCTTCTGCTTGGTTGTTGTCTCACCTGTACCTTGTTCTCGGAGCACCGGTGTGTGGCTGATTCGTTCTTCTCGCTGTGCCCTTGGTCTGTCCTGTGGCACGTCACTCTGTCTTACAGGGTTTGGGTCAGTGATCTCATTGGCCCTCATCAGTAGGTCAACCCTGTTGACCCCAGGTTGGTGTGTTGTGTCCCTCCACCCGCTGCAGGGCAGAGCCCTGCTCCCCGTCGCTGTGTTCCTGCTGGCATGAAGCCATGCGGTTGGGAATACAGCTTTTGTGGCAAATAAAGGGCTGATGTTGTGATTTTCTTGAGTACTGTCTGAGATTCAAGTGATTCAGGGTGAAACACTGTTCCGCTCGAGTTCATGGCAAAAGGAATTTCCCTGGGTTCAGCTGTCAGGTCAGCCAGTGGCTTCCTGTGCAAAGCCGCTGGAGAAGCTTTAACATCCAAGCTCCTTGGCTCCCCACCACTACGGGGTAGGCAGCCTTGTGAGAAAGCTGACGAATAGCGAGGCGCTTGGGGGTTACAGTGATGCTGTGGCCTCCGAGGAGCCCCAGATATTTAACAGCACTGAAAGAAACACCGGGAGCTCTGCCAGGTGCCAGGTTTCAGACAAGCCTCCCCTTCTGGCCACATTTGCTAAAAAAGGCTCATCAAAGTGGTAATTGGAAACCGAATGAATGTGGTGGCTTAGCTTGGTTTTGCCTTGAAATCAGAGGCATTAACTTGTGGGGGGGCACCAGCCTTGGCGCGTCAGTAGAAACGTGTGGCTTTGGGCAGGACCCTGCTGTGCATCCAGACGCTTTGGCTGGATGCTCCTCCGAGAGCTGGTGGTAGCCAAGGTGGCCAGAGCTTCAGCAAACCCCTTTCTTACTACAGCATTAAGTGTTTGATGAAAGTCTCTCAGGCACTTTACATCAAAAGTATATATTTATTTATTAAAAAGAATGGCAAAAAAAATAGACCAAAGTGCTTTGTCCTATAAAAGACAATTTCTTGGAGACTGAATGCCCTAGACCTGAGTACGCATGGCACTGCTGTCCATAGCTGTAGATGGCTGATCCAAATCTGATGCTGAGTATCACGGAACTGGGAGGTCAGCAAGGGATTTTTCCACTGATGACTAGGGGACTTAACCACACATCTACAGTTTTCAGTTGGAGATGTATGGCCAAATCCCCTCAGTGGCTTTACAATTCAATTCAGAGCAGAAAAAAAATACAATTTTTGACTCTAGGCTTTAAACTGCCTCACCGTTTGAACCCATCTCTGCACAAAAGGCAGGTGGCCAGACCCTTGTCCAGTGTAAAGCAGCGTATCTCACCAATTTCATGTACGCACTCCAATATGTGGGTTAGAGTAAAGAAACCCTCTTGCCTCCCTCTAAGATCTCCTCGGTTGAGTGGTACAATACCAGAGGTTCAGAGCTGTATCGGAATTTTCAGTTAAACTAAATTGGCAGTTTTAAGCGCATTTGAGGCTCCTCATTGCTATACATGCTCACTTTTGGTTTCAGAGTCTGTGGGCAGCTGCCGGGGTGAGTCGGAGGTGGCTCTAAGGTACCTTTCGAAACCGCAGAGGGGAGGCGGCACAGACAAACAAATTAACAGGTAAGGAAAAACCCCACAATTTCCTCACACTGGGAAAAGACCTCTGCCTGGAGCTGCGTCCACACCACGCACATACGCCTTCTCGCAACAAGCGGTTTCCCTCAGCTCTAAGCCTACGCGCTTTCTTGGCCTTAGGTTTTCTGTATCTTGACAGTGGTGCAAAGTATATTCTATTTTCTGCATCGGCTTTCCCCAAATGTTCAAACTGATACAGTTCTGAGACTTCCCAGCTATGAAATTCCAGCAAACTGTTTTACTTGGAGGCTCTAATTTTTTCAGGAAGCTCTGTAACCTGCAGTGCTGTGACATTAGCACCCCATTTTGCATTAAAAATCATCCAGATGATACCCATCTCTGCAATGGTAGGGCTGAGGCTGAAAATGGAAACGTGGAAAGTGCTGCTGCAAGCTGTTGACATTTGTTTTTAATTAGACTTGCTACGCAAATCTGGAAGAAAATTTTGATTTCTTTAAGGTCCAGCTTGTGATTGATTTTTACGTGCTTCCAATCAATACTGCTGATTTTTTTTTTTTCCTTATTTTTGTTTCAAATACTGTTTTCAGCTGGCAAACTGCTCCTGCTGTAAGCAATTGTGGCACATGAGAACTGAAGCTGCTGGAAGAGAGCACCTTCCCTACATGCCGTGACGGCACATCGTCGTCTTCAGCAGATGAATTAATTTATGGTGCATTTTTAACAGGCAGCTAAGAGGGTCAATGTTGGCCTTTCGCTGGCTCTGCCCTCCAGGACAGTTTGATATTCTCCCCTCGTGACACTTTTATAGCAGGGTATACTCTCAGGTTTACTTCTGTCAGATGCCTCACATCAAATGCTCACATGGTGAGCATTTTAACTTCCATGCTCCTCTTTTGTTATTACCCATCTGAATGCTGTAGCTCAGCTATGCCAAAACAAATCGTTCAAATTCTCCTTTGGATGGATCTTTTATTCTTTCTGGCAGACTGAAAGGAGCCTCCTTCAAATGTGAAACACCGCTAAAGCTACAAAAACAATCTGTACCACAAAAAAGCCCTCTTGGATCCCTTCCTGTAAGCGCATTTTGGTCTGGTTTCTGCTGTGTGAGTTTTATACTTTGTCTGTTTCATTTTTTTATATGCAACTGATTAGCATCTTTATTTGCTTTTAATATCGTGTGCTGGTTTGCTGCATGTTTGATTCTGAAACCACCAACCCTCCCCACATTTTTTTTTTTCCCCCAGACATATCTCCCTATATAGAGAAGAGCTGTTACAGGATAAGGCCACGTCCACCAGCAGCAGCACTGCCCATGGCTTATCTCACAGGCTAGACGTTAGCTAATCGGTATAAATAGTAGTAAGGCAGCGCCGCTTGCATGTCTGGCATCTGAGTCAGGTGCGGTGTGTGTGCAGCTAACTTTGCACAGACAAGGAAGAAAGCAGGAGTGTGCTCCCCTTCCAACAGTGTGACAGCCAGGCAGTCACCGGGAGGCCCTGTTATAGCCCTCGGTCTAGCACGCGGCCCGGGGTTTCTGGTGCGTCCCCAGCACCTGGCTCCTCCTTTAGTTCCACTCACTGCATTACTACCTGAGGTGAAGACGCCTCCGATTTCTTCAACAGATCTCTCCTGACCTTTCTTCCTCTGTGAGTGCTTCGTCCTTCCCTGTGTGATGTGAGTTCCCTTGTCTTTCTGTGCTGGCGTAAAACCGCTGTAAAGTCTTCTGGGTAGAACAGAAGTGAATTCAGAGTCAAGTCCCAGGCAAACACCAAATCAATACAAAGGACAGTGTGTACTCACGACCCAATTGATCTATTTCATTCTAAGGCTTCTGTGAAAATTGTCTTTATCTATGTTTGTGCCAGATAATACTAAAAAACCCTACTCTTTTAGCAGGAAGGAGTCCGCTTGAGGCCAGAATCGAGTTTTCATTCCATCTAATGAGGAGGAGGAGGATGATGATGATCGATTATGGAAAAGAAGGTATGGAACAGCCACTGCTATGGTTCCAAACCATGCCATGTGCCCAAGACAATTCCACCATAGAATATCACTGGAAAGCCCTTTTCCTTTGAGTCTCTGCAATGAAGGCACCTGTGAATGCTGTTAAAGATGATGATATTCCAGAAAGGTTGCCAGGAGCTCCAGCACTTAATGGCACTTTTGAGAGGGAATCTGAGTAAGGGGAAACACATATGCCAGTTGCTGGCAGAGGAATAAAATGCACAAAGCTTGCATTAAGAAAAAAATTATTCAAGCTTAGTCCTCTGTAATATAGTAATAGCAGTGAAGATTTTCGGACTTGAAGTATTCTCTGAATAATAATAATAATAATAATAATAATAATAAGCCTTTCTCATTTAGAGCATTAGCAGATGAGATAAAACCTAGCGGTTCTCCCTGCTCAGTGGCTGCCTTATAACTGTATATGAAAGTCGTGCACATGAATAGCTCGTCTGAGAGCTCAGAAATATTCATTACAAACGAGGCAGCGGGCTATGGATATGACCTTTGTTTTCTAAAAAAAACATTTTTGCAAAATCAAGAGCAAACCCTCTTGCTGTTGAAGTAATTTTCAAGTTCCTGATTTATTTTTTATTTTTAAGTACTGTTTACCAGTTGGGTTGCTGCCAAACAGAGTTCCCCAGCTGGGATCTGGCAGGAAAACTAAATGCTTTGAGGTCCTGATCTAGTTAGCGGTGTCCCTGCTCCTGCGGGGGGGTTGGACTAGATGACCTCTAGGAGTCCCTTCCAACCCAAAACATTCTATGATTCATTCTATGATTGGTTCCACAGCAGGCTAAACCAACTAAGATCAGCATCACCTTGCTGGTCCCAAAAGCAAAACTCTCTGAGAGATAATTGCTTCATTTTGGGAAGAGCACTGGTACTACTGTAAGGGAGAGGGTAGGACATGGAGCAGGAACGGGGGAGATGAGACTGCAACAAGACTAATGTGGAATGGCTTAATAAAAGCTTATGGAGCCACAGTCTTTGTAGCGATGGTGCCTGCATGAAGTCCTGCTTCCTTGGAAACTAAGGGCAAGACAGAAACAGAATCATTCACACCCTGAAAACATTCTCCCCATCTTTGACCCCCTCCGTGTCCTTTCCATGCTGTGTATGTAACCTTGGCAATTCAAAATCTGCAGAAAAAACCCAGGTACCTCAGGCTTATACTGAGGAACACGATGCTCAGCACATCTGAGGCGTGCGGACCCCAGCTGGGTAGACACTGGTCATTAAATCCTCCTGATCCAGGTCTTTAATTGGCTGATGCTCACAGCACCCATTTTAGCAGAAGCTAAGGGAGCGGCACCAGCCCCAGGAGCTCGGATCTGAGCCCACACCTGAATCCCACGTTGCGTCCCTCCTTCCCAAATTACAGCTTTGACTCCAGGAAGGTTTAAGATGCCAGTTGTGGTTTAAAAGGCCATCAGGGCTTGCCTATCTGAAAGCTGGTCCTACTGTGACTGCCAGTGGCCTGATACTTGCGTGCACACAGAGGCTTTATGTGTTCTGACAGAGCATCTGAAATAATTTCCAAGGTCCACTGGCTATTCCCACAGATGGGAAGGGCAAAGAGGGATAGAATTAATGAAAAAGGATAGGTAAAAACATATCACAAAAGTGGAGGGAATATGTCAAAGGTAATCCAGCTGCTGTTGTGCTTCACGAGACCCATGTTGTGCTAGATATTTGGGGCAAAGGTGTAAACTCTGTTCTGTTGCAGCCTGCATCAACCATACCGGGAGAGAGTCGGCTTCTCCCACTGGAACTGAAAGCTCGAGTCAGCCCTGGGGTTTGGGTGCTTTGTCCTCTAAGCCATTTTTAACCCTCAAAATCAGGGCAGGTAAACGCAGGCACAGCAGCTGATACCTGATTGTCACACAGTGACAATGTCGCCAGGGAGAGGCTCTGTGCAAATCCCCAGTGTTGTGAGACACGACGGCGTGAGCTATCTTCTCCAGTGAACTCGGCAGGCCGAGGGCAGGCAGTGAAGAAGACGGCGAAGGCACTAGCAGCCAGCTGGTCAGAGGCGACTGCTCGGCTCTGTGGGCTGGGGTCAAGGTGGCATTTGATGCTGCAACACACCTTTGGGCAGCAGTTCCAACCTGCACTCCACAGGTAACTTGCTGACTAGGAGACAGTTTTCCTTCCAGCGCTGTGTTTTGCTTTTCACAGGCTCCCTCAGGCTGGGGGGAAAGAGCCAAGTGCAATGTAGCCGATATATTATTGTCCACCACAGTCCAGAAAAAGTTGGGAATTGTTCTCTGAATTTGTGTTTGTCCATTTTGCTTGCTCAGTGCCCGAAATCTGTTCTATGGCAGCAGTCTTTTGCCCTGTGGAAGATTATGACTGTCCCAGATAAAAGGGAAACCTTCAGGTGGTGAGAGGTGGGAAGGACCTATGCTAGGGTAGGGCAGGGCAGAGGCACTTGCCACATATGTTCCTCCTTTGAATAACGAAAATAATATAAAATTGACTTTTCCTTAATTTCCCCACTGTCTTTGCTTGATGTCATGCCCAAGGGCATAAATGTCTTCAATATAAAAAATATATTGCAGCTCTCCAGGTGATGGCCCTGGACCACAGCCTGAGAAACAGTGGCATTGTCTGCTTCCCAGAGAAATTCTCTGAGATGCCTTCCTTGCAGATTTCTTCCTCTCCCCCACCCTCCCCTAGGGCTCCCTGTCTAGCTGTTTCCCTGTGACATTTCAGTCCTGAAGGAAGTCAGGCTGAAAGCCTCTCTCACCAGTTCACCCGAAGGTAACGCTGACTTCAGGAAACAGAATGAAATAAGGAACGTCAGAGGTCCGTGCCTTCTGCAAGAAGTTTCTGCGTTCTGACACAAGAACCTCTCCCCTGGACATTCCCATCTACATGGAAACCTGTGGCGATTTTCAGGACTTTACATTCCCAGGCACTGGCAGCAGTTTCATACACCAGCTAAAGCAAGAAAGCCCTTAGCAATGCTGCTACCCTTTGGGCTCTAGGAGTAGTCCTCGTTGGAATGGAGGCCCAAGAGCTCTTCAGCCAAGCTGATGAGACCATTTTCTTCCAGGGCTGCAATCAGCCGCGCTATTGTGGCCTTCTTCCCCTCTGACTGGATAAATCTGAGAAGCAGCTGATAGGCTTGTTCGTATAGTCCCTCTCGGTCATACTCGAGGGCCAGGTTATCGATGACGGGATCACGCAGGGCCCGGCAGTTCTTCTGCAAAGAGCGACCCACTTGCTTCCATTTCTTGGACACGAGCTTGGCAAATTTCTGGTGGTCATCTGCTGTGAGTGTTCTGTTGGCTGAAAGAAACAGAGGGCAGGCAAAACACAGGGGTTTCATGGCTGATGTGATGCAGCTCGGCCCACCCCGAGGCTTGCTCAACATTCTGTGGAGCAGGGAATCTGTTCAGCGTCCTCAGCACATTATTAAACTGCTGTGGGCCTGCTCTGCTTGTCTTCTGGTGTTTTAACACCAGGGCAGCACTGCTGAATTTGCAGCAGAAGTGCAAAAGCAGTGAAGTTAAAGGTACTGCCCCGCCATGGGCGGGGGGGTCACGCACACGGGGCTGCATGCTCTGATCGCATTCCTCCACCGCCGGGAAGGGAAAATTGGCTGGAGTAAGCCTCACTGCTTAGGGTCTCCATGTGTACGAGCTGGGCATGTCCGCTCTCCACGTAGTCAGCAGAGCAGTGCTGATGCCTCAGGAGGCAAACTGTAGCACGCGGGGACACGCTGACCTCCTCACAGCCATCTGCCCTGGCACACCTGAGCTCCCTGCCTTGCTCAGACTGTTCCCTTACTGAAATCCTCCCCCAACATCAGAGTATCGGGGCTTGCCCCACACTGCAAGCTTGCCAATGCCCGTTTTTTTTTTTTTTTTTTTTTTCTCCCCCTCCGCGGGGGGGT